GGGGGAGAACTTCTCTTTATTATGTTTGCTATAAACGGGCTAAAAGTGCGTGTCTCTCTTTTTCTCCTTCCCTTCTCTCTCTCTTCTCCCTCGTTTTTTTGCAGAGGATGAAAGTCCTGGGCAGACCTATCACAGAGAGAGAAGGAACGCGCTCACAATGCAGCCGCAGGGTGGGCAAGGCCTCGGCAAGATCAGTGAGGAGCCTTCCACGTCGAGCGAGGAAAGGGCCTCATTAATCAAGAAGGAGATCCATGGATCTATATCGCACCTTCCCGAACCTGCTGTACCTTACCGTGGGACGCTCTTTACCATGGACCCCCGAAACGGTTACATGGACCCCCATTACCGTGAGTATCCGCTGCCGGTTCGTTTTGGGATGCGAAGGCTGTCAAATGTAATGCAATTTTATTTCTCGCCTTGCATCGTCCCCAGGGAGAGAACTGCTTTGTCTGGGGGGTGGGGGTCGAGGTAATGAGATCTATTTTTTCTGAAGTTAAAAAACAGGGGGCAGTTGCATTTCAGCTCAGAATTATCACAGGCCTCTGCGAAGCAACTTCCACAGGACATAGCATCTGTTGCTAATCCTCCTCAGCTACCCAGGGCTGCGTTTGCTCCACCTCCTTAATATGAGAAGGAAAAAAGCCTCATTAAACAAAGCGCAGAAGGACGATGGAACAGGCCTTAGAATCCCTCTTTTAAAACAATATTAAAGCATGGTAGTAAGAGGAGGAGGGACCATGCCTTGTACAGTGAGAAACAGGGAAGGGAGGGAGGGGTTGGAAGGTTTATTGCTGTGTTTTGGGGGGTTTTGTTTTGTTTTGGAGGTTTTTAGGGCTTCACTTGTGTGTGTGAGTACGTGGGCTGATGGAGTGGTTTTGCAATTTTCTTCCCCAGCTACAGTTTGCTGAAGGGAGGTGAGTGTGTGTGTGAAGGCAAATCGTTTCAACTTCTGAATTCCTGCTCAGGCATTAATAAAAAAAGTAAGAAATTAACTGACACTTGAACACAGATGTGGAGTGGATTTCTCCACAGGCAAAATATGAGGGAGTTAAGCAATTTTTTTTTTTCATCTGCTTCTAGTTTACAAAAAAAGAGAGAAAAAAAAAATCATTTAGCTGTGTAGTAATCAAGTACATCTTGAGGTGTCAAGGCTTGTGCCTTTTGATTATAGATTTATCACCCAGTCAGGATACAGATTTGCCATTTAACCTTCCAGTCTCCAGTTCCAGATGATAGGCTTAAGACCCACAAAGAGGGGCCAGTCTCCACTGGGGTTTTTTTTCCCCCACATCATTCAGAAATTTTAGTGTTGTAAGGCAAAAGGTCATTAGCCAGACGACTGATTAGTGAGGACAGCTGATTAGTGCATGTTTTTTTGCGAAAGAAAGTGCCAGGGATAAAAGCTAATTTTATCCCTTCATTAGTTGGGCTAGCAGCAAAGGGGAATGTTCACTCATCAGGGTGCAGATCAAAGTATGTCTCGCACAACCTTAAGTCTCACCAACCTCCTTTTTTAAAAAAGAAAAAAGATCAGCCTGATTGTTAATAAGGATGGAGGTGTTACGAGAAAACGAACACGTGTTGTCTTTATAGTTTAGATCAGTATTTAGGGAAAGTTTGCAGTTAAGCTTGTTGAGCTCTCTTCCAGTGTAGGCATTTGGTTTCTGTGCACCACCCTCCTCCTCCTCCCCTCGTACAGCCCTGCTGGGACCGTCTGGGGGAGTTACTCATCTTTCTGCTGAGGCGGATGTGCCACGGCACCCCAGCAGCAGACTCGTCCGCCGGAGAGGCGTGAGCGTGCAGAGCGAATGACCGCTCACGAGCAGCAGCGCTGAGAAATGTTATTTGCGGGCTGGAGGCACCATTCATAGCTTACCGTTTGTTGATGCGACTGCCAAATCTCACTTTAAAAAAAAGAAGTCTCACTGGGGAAGCAAAATAACTTCTCTGTAGGCAGTACAGCTGGGGAAAGGTGAAACATGTGACAGAACCAACCCCTAAATGAATAACAAACCTTATGGTGAATTTAGTGCCGTTTTGACCATCTGACCAGCTGCCAGCTCACCCCTTAAATCTAGTTCAAAGTCTTGTTGATACTACCGAAGATTCAGACTGAAGAAAATGGGCCAGCTGGTCATACTGAGTCTTGAGTGGTTTGCATTTAGTGTGTTTTGTTTTATTTTATTGAATTTGCCTTTTGACAAGAGTTCTCAAGATTCAATGAAGCTGTAGTGTGACCAATAACGCTAGCTAGTTAGGATGTATGGGCTACTAGAAAAACACTGGTGTGAGAAGTTGAGAGAGCAGCAGAAGTTACCAGCATATAGCGGTAGAGAAGCAGGAGATGAGTTAATTTTAAATGAGCAACGTGATCCTAAAGCAAAAATCTAAGTCACAGAATCACAGAAGGGTAGGGGTTGGAAGGGACCTCTGTGGGTCATCTAGTCCAACCCCCCTGCCGAAGCAGGGTCACCCAGAGCAGGCAAAGACGTAAAACGTCGGATGGGCAGACCTGCTTCACCGCTGCTATAGCGAGTTACACATTGTTCTCCCTGATTTATAAAATCCCTCAAGCTATTAATGTCATATGAAGAGCCATCATGCTTTTATTTACATTTAATAGATGGGATACAGTAGGACAACTAAAGAGACAAATGTCTAGTTAGATTTATAAGCAAGCAGACAGGCTTACTGAAATTTTCATAGTAGTTGTATCATATATGTAAGACATGCTTTCATCGAAGTGGTGACTGTATTCAGGCTGACACTTACAGTGGTCCACGTGAAGAAGGCTGAATAATGTAAACACACCCCAGTCCCACTGTAGCAACAGGTGAGGAACCAGCAAGGCTGTCGTTCGCTTCCTGAGTTTCTTACCAGTTTTGCTGGGTTTATAGGTAGAAAATACTGTTTTAATTCAACGTAGTTGGGCATGTAAACACTCACAGTAATTCCTGAGTTTCCCTGTGGTTGGAAAATACAGACTTCTCAAGATGCCTAATTTGTGCTTCTATTTATACCCACTTTGTATTTAAAAGTGTGGGTAGGCTTCCTGTAACTCAGGAAAAGGGAGAATAATTTTTTTGAAGGAGGACTTCTGTAGATTTTTATGGCAAGAAAAGAGAAAGAGCATTTAAGTCAATAGTGTGTGGAACGCATGTTCCCTCCAGGAGGTGCAGTTATTGGAAACAACTCGAATGCTTTGCATTTCTACATGTGAATATGCGTGTCTCTGTATGTGCGTTGCAGGATTTTTTGTTGTTACAATTTTTTTCCTAATTAAAATGACTGATGTTGGAAATAATAGTTACCATATACATGGAATAAATACCTCATTGAGGGGGAGTTTGCTCTCCTGCAGAGTGTGGGTGGGGATAATGGTTGTGTTTCAAGTGGACCAGCTTTGCAAGCAGCTGGGATGGAACATGCTGTGGAGCTGGCGGCCCTTTGGCACTGCCAGAGAGCCCCTCGACTGTTTAGCAACCCAGAATGAGAGCAGCCTCGTGCTTAGCCCATAGCCCTCTGTCCTCCAAGAAATAACAGAGAAAACACACAGGTCTAAACCAGAAATTATTGTTTTCTGTGGTTTTTTTTTTTGTTACGGATTTCTTAAGCACCATTTAAACAATGGTCACAGTCTGGGGGGTTTGGTTTGGGTGTTTTCTTTTGACGTTTAAAAAACTTTTTTCTTTCGAAAAGCTTTAGGGCAGATGACAAAAACGTTGGCGTTTCCTTTCATGTGTGACACCTTTCCTTTATTGAGGAGAGGAGGGTTACTGAGCTTAATCACAGTGTTTCTTAAATGGATTTAAAACCTCATGTTCCCAAACACTGATTGCAGTGGTAGTTGGAGCCCCTTGTTAATGTAAATTGTCTGTAGAGGTGGGGCTGAGGCAGGGGAGGTGGGGACAGCGACTTCCCTTTGTTATTCTCTTCCCCAGTTTTAATTCCCATGCAGATTTATGGCAGTGCTAAGACTGCCAGTCTCGGAAGTCATTCCTCATGGAAAAAATGAATCATTCCTTGATATAAAACATACTGCGGATATTCTTCCCTGGGTTTCACAGCTCATCTGAAGGAATGGTTAGTTCCTAATTAGTAAAGCCTGAAGAAGTAAAAAGCAGTGAGTTTTAGTTAGCTCTGATCTAAAAATTTGTATGTACAGGAATGGCCCTGGCAGGTTTCCCTTTCTGGTGCATACCTTCATCTTAAAGAGGATGCACTGAATGTAGCTGAAAGCAGGAACCCACTCTTTTTCCGCTCCCATCCTTAGTGGGGATTTATTCTGCTGGTTTTGAAGCTTCTGTATCTATCTGGGGAAGCAGGAACTACTACTGCACATTTCATAGGATTAACCCGCCAAAGTTATTGATTGCCCTTGGTTCCCACTGACTGTGCCTGGACTTGTGCTTTGTAAGGATCGGGCCCCTCATAACTGCCCAGGTTGGATTACCTGGTGTTAGTGTCATCTCACAATCAATTTGCAAAGTGAACAAAAGACGACAGCAAGGAAAATGCAGTGCTGGTTCACTAGGTGCACTTGTTCATTTACTGCCTTTTCATTTCCATTGACAAGAATTCCCCTTTCTTCACCTCCCCATAGAAAAGAAAAAAGGAGGAAGGAAAAAAAAAAGAAATTAGATTCTGTTTCTGTAAATGCAAACTGATAACTGGAAACACTGCCTTAAAATGCAGTAATTTGAAGGCAGTGACTTTTCATGGCAATGTGGCTTGAGCCACGGTGGCCAGCTATGTGCGGCACACTGGCCAGTGAGAGCAGCCCAGGTCGCCACCAGCAGATGGGCTCATGGAAGGGGGTCTCCACTTGGTTTGTTAGAGGGGGGAGCCGGTGGCCTGCCTTGTCCTCTCCCTGGCACATTTTGGGATTCCAGAGGGACAACCAAGATGTTTTGGATTGTCCCACATTGGGCACTTTTCTTAGCTTACCTCTAGCTTCCCAGCGTCACCGGGTGGCAGGAGCCCAGGACAGCTTTTTATAGAGGGTTTGCCCCTAGCCTTGCTGGAGAGCAGTAGGAGAGTGTCAGCGAGGAATCCTTGTAGAGATTTAGAGCCCCGGGGTCTTTAAAGACATTTAGGGGCTTTTCAGTTTCAAAGTGAGTTTGGCCTCTTAAATACCTCTGAAACTGTGGGTCGTACTTCTTCAGCTCAAGCACTCTAGGAACAAAACTCTCCACTGATGGTGATTTATGGGGTGGTTTCCAACTGTTGTCAAGGAGGGGTAGTTGAAAAAAGTAAAATCTAAAGCTTATAATAAAACTCAGAGGAAGAAAGGCCTGTAGTATAAAAGTGAATGTCAGATTACTGGTGTCAGCTGAGCAACTGAAAT